TAATTTTAGACAAATTTCTTTACACAATATTCTTTCACAATGCAGTCATTTTGACTGCTTTGGGCAATTAGGTATATACTAAATTTCAGTTTTCTAGTGTTAAGAGCAAAACTGAATACTCGCTATCGAATCAAACGACCTGAGTTTTTTTAGTAGGTGGATTAGTTAACTAAATTATGTGTACGAAAGATTAATAGAAATCGTATGGAAAAATGTGAAGATCGCAACTATTTTATCCAGGATCATGGTGTAAAAACATAAGGTGTGTTCTTGCGCATCCATTTGAACATCCATCTGTACACGGACACTTCTACTCGTTGGCCATTTTGGATTTCTAAACAATCACGCTTCATATTAAAACAGAGCGAATTTTAAAATCGTAAACATGCCAAAAATTAGGTACTCGGAGTGTAATATGTATGCGTGTTTGAAATAAACAATAGGTCATCGTACTTCCAATATGGCCGATGAGTGGAAGGCGCAAACAGCGACACATTTGAACACGGCGGAAGAACACACCTTATGTTTTTACATCATGTCCAGGATTATAATGAACACTTAATTTTGACTACTTATATGAGTTTAGTATATTTTTAAGATCGATATTTAATTTCGAAATTTACGTACGCCAATTTTTCTTGCTCCCACATCTCTGGATTATCCGAAATCCACGGGTTCGTCAATTCCGGCTGTACGACAAATGGATCGTACTCCATATACTGTTCGGAATATGCGATCAGACTGGAATTGAAAATGAAATTACTTAGGGGTAAAGTGAAGTACATGATTTTTGTATAAATCTTCACTTACGCCTCGGAAACTTTCGAAACCTTCGTGCTCGTTCGATCTAATCTAGCTTTCAACATGTCAATTTCTTTGTTCAATGTTTCTATCGCTGATACCGATGACTCCGATTGCGAAGGAACGTCTGTACTAGCTATGCCTAATTGATGATGTTTGCTAGACTTCGACGTTGGTTTATAAGTGCGACAGGCTTTCTTTATATCCATCTCGGTCGTATTAACGCAACCAGGCTAAAAAACAATTATAACATAACGTTTCAGTAGAAAACTTATTAAATACAAATATTTACTTATTGATTGTATGTTAGGTCTGCCGGTCAAGCATTACTTGAATTCTTCGGCTCTAATTACAAGGCATTTTTAAAAAATATTGACAAATTGCCATCAGGCTGGCAAGAAGTCATAAGTAACGACGG